GAGATCCCCAGCGAGCGCATGGAGCTGCAGGACCTGGGTATGGAGCAATGAGGGGGACCTACTCTCCTCTGTGGGGCTGCTGTGGGGTAGGGGCAGGGCTGTGGGTCCCCAGGGCTGCCCCATCACGTTCCGGCTGGCAGCAGGGCCACTGGGGCTTAGGGATGGCACTCACTGGGCATCACCTCTACCTTGCAGTGAAACCGGAGGCGCCCATCAACCTGACCATCCGCAACATGAGCAGCAACCAGCTGCAGCTGACCTGGACATCCCCGTACCCCAAAGCCCAGTGCCTGGAGCACACCGTCAAGTACAAGAGCAACAAGGACACCAGCTGGACGGTGAGAGCCCCCTGGATGTGGCACCCCCATGGTTGTGCCTGGGGACGAGCTGTGCACCAGCCTCCATGGCAGTGCCGGCCCTCATTGCGTGGTCCACATCTCTCTGCAGGAGCACCGGGTGAAAGGAGACATCTTCTCCTTCCCCAGCGTGGACTACGAGAAGTACTACACCTTCTACGTGCGCAGCAAGATCAACAGCTACTGCGGCAGCACCCAGCTCTGGAGCGACTGGAGCGTTCCTGTGATCTGGGGCAGTAACTCCACCAGCAAGGGTAGGTGTCCTGGGGGCTGCAGCAGGACGGGACAGGCTGGGGCATGGTGGGGCTCAGCAGGCGAGGGATGGCCAAGCAAGTGGAAAACTGGCCCAAGGCAGCAGCTGTAGGGGCGAGACCCGTCCGGGTGCCTGGGGCACAGGCAGTGGCATCGGCCCCTGCGTCCTTTGCACTTCTGGAAGCCAAACACCCCCCGCCAGCAGGACCTGCTGACTTTTGCCAGGGGTTTCTTAGCCCTGGAGGGCTGCTCTGGCATAGATGGTCCAGGATAGGGTCACCAGCCAGTTGTGGTGACAACGTGGCAGGTCTTGGGGATGGGCCCCTTCTCCATCCTCTGCTCCCAGCTGAGCCCTGCCACAGACGATGCCAAGCTCCCATGGCCACCCTCGAAGGGCCACCGGCGTGCCCATCCCACTGCCTTAGCAGTGCACCGGCCGGGACTCCATGTCACCCAGGCTCTTTCCAGGCGCAGTAGAGGAGCAGCTGCACTGGTTCTGGATCCACACGGTGTTGATCTCCATTGCCTCCTGCCTGCTCCTGCTGGTCCTTGTCGTCCTGCTGGTGCGCATGGAAAGGTGAGTGTGGAAGGCTAGTGGGGAGCAGCAAGCGCTGGGGCCCTTCCCCTCCAACACGTCTCTCCTGCGCAGGGTGTGGGTCATCCTCATGCCCCGAATCCCCAACCCCAGCAAGAACTTCGATGAGCTCTTCATCACCCACAACGGTGACTTCCAGGTAAGGCAGCTGTGGGCAGCCCCGCCCCAGGCTCACCCCCTGGCCCATGGGGTTGGGACTGGACTGGGTGGTGGCTCCTCTCAGCCCGCTCTTCTCCCTGGAGGAATGGGCCGGAGTCCCCAAAGACGTCGTGGAGAGCTTCAAGCCCAACTACAGCGAGAACATCTGCTACGTGAGTGAGCTGCCCCCCAAAGACAGCTACGAGCCTCTCTGGGAGAGCAGCAACCACCCGCCGTCTGTGATGCCCAGGGCCCCGGCCACCCCCCATGAGCACAGCCCCTACAAGAACAGCTACATGGAAGTGTGATGCACTCCTGCACCGCTGCGCTGCACACGCTTTGCACCCCCACTGCCCAAAACCTCGCCACCCCACAGGCCTCACTCCCTGCTCCCCCCCTGCCTTCACCAAATGCCCAGGACCTCCAGCCCTGCTCCCTGCCACAGCCACACTCAGCCCGCTACGACACGGTGGCTGTACTGCACTGCAGGGTGCTGGGTGCACTGTAGGGTGCTAGGTGAGCGCGGTGTGCTGGTTGCACTGGGCGGTGCACTGGCTGCACTGCACAGTGCGCTGGGTGTACTGGGTGGTGCAATGGGTGCACTGCACGGTGCATGGCATGCAGTGCATGGCACCCTGGGTGCACTACTTGTTGCACTGAGTGGTCTATGTGATGCATTGGGTGCACTGGGTGCTGCTCTGGTGCGTTGCAGGACACTGGGTGCACTGCACGGTGTGCCAGCACCTGCCCTGTCCTTGGGGTGTCCAGGAGGGCAGGGTGACATCCCCCCATGAGCCCTGCCGCGTGCAGGATCCCTTGCGGGGTTGCTGCAGCAGAGCAGAGCTGTCAGAGAGCTGATGGGCTCCCATACTGCTCTCCCATGGGCCGCTGTGCTGGGCACATTGGAGCTACTGGGGGCTCGCTGATACCCCCTGGCTGCTCTGAGGTGCCTGCAAGCACGCTCAGGGATGTGTCCTGGCAAGGGGGCAGCCCAGGGGTCTGACCCTAGCTGATGCCAACCCCAGCTGTGCCCAAGCAGGTAAGAGCCACTGGCCGACTGACAGGGACACCGGGGGCAAGGGGTCCCAAGCCACTGTGTCCCCCCCAGCCCTGAGAGCTGCTGCCCCTGGGGCACCAAGTGAGCCTGGCTGTCCCTCCGGGGCCTCACCGCTCCTTCACCTGCGCCCCGGGTTTCCCACTGCAATAAAGCTCTGCTGTGCTGGGGGCTTGGCCGGGCCTGTCTCACAGCGTCTGGGGTAAGTGCTGGCAGAGTCCTGTGCCCCGCCCTCCTCCCACCTCACAAACGCCGCGGGGCCGTCCAGCCCCACTGTCCTGGGCTCACAGCGGCAGCATGTTCATCTACATCAAGCAGGAGGGTGAGTCCCCTCCTGGCCATCCCACGGGTGCCTGCTCCCCGGGCACGGGGGAGGGATGCGCCATGGCCTTGCCTGGTGGCAGGCTCGGCCTCTGGGCTCTGCGGCTG